TAACAGTCCCTGCCCTGGCCCTTGGCCCAGTCTCCAGGCACCCCTAGGTCAACTCTAGGGTAGACCAGATCTTCTTCCAAGGTCCCACTCCATCCCATTTCCTCACGGTCCAGCCTCCATGCATGGAGCTGAGCCATCAAAGCCTAGGCTGTTGGCCTGAGCAGGCCTCGAGGTGGGGAGTCAGACAGCCTTGGGTTTCACCCACTCCCTAGTGGCCCTGGGTGAAATCACAAATCTGCAGTTTCTTCCTGTCTCAAACAGGTCTGACAAATAGCAGTGAGGAGTCACGAGTTGCTGCCTGAAGAGCCCTCAGCCCAGGGCCTAGTTGGGGCCTTTAGACTAGTGGCTCTTAGGACAATGAATTTTGTGGTTCCAGGCACAAGGTATAGGGGTGGATGAGGTCCCTGTGATGAGAACAGTGGGTGCAATGCCACATCCAGCCACCTTGGAGCTGGGTGTTTAGAAGCCAGGGGTCCCTATGATTCCTGGGCTTTGGGAGTGGGAACACAGCTCTTGTACACAGCAGGAAGAGCTCTGATGGGCTGTTGGGGTATCATGAGGATGGAGAGGTGTGCTCACCCCAGGGCCCTTGCATATGCATTCTCTCTGCCCAGGGACCTCTTCCTTCCACTTCCTATACTTCCCTGGGCTAATCCTGCTCATCCCTGGGGGATGTCAATTTAGACTTCACCTGATTCCCTTCCTCTGTGCTCCCATCATATTACATTCTCAATAATAATACCACTAATCATCGTCTACCATTAGGAAGCCCTTACTATGTGCCAAGCATAGTGCTAAAGGCATTACCTACATACAGTATCTCATTTGATTCTCCCAACATTTTGAGAGATAGATACATCTCTTGTTTTTCTGATTTTACAAATGAAGAAATGGGTTTGGAGGAGTGAACTCATTGGCTCCTCTGTATAATGGATGCCTGTGTGCCAGCCCATCTCTGCCTTGGACTGTGAGCTTCCCGAGGGCAGGGGTTGTGTCCTGATGGCAGTTGAGCCTCAGCACCCAGCACTGGCCTACTTAGGATCGGCTCAGTAGGTGGGAGTCTCCAGCGGTATTTGTTGAATACATGATTGAGTGAGTGAATGCTTGCAAAGTACTGATGCAGTGCTTGGCACCCCATGGATGATCTGTAGTCAGCAGAAAAATGCCTTCCCTCAAATATATCCGTGTCCTCCTCCCTGGAGCCTGTGAATATGTTACATGACTGGTGGAGGGGAATGAAGGTTGCAGATGAAATGAAGTTGCTAATCTGCTGCTTTGATAGTAGAGAAATTATCCTGGATTATCTGGGGGGGACCCAAACATGGGACCTTAAAAGTGGGAGAGGGAGGCAGGAGGGAACCAGAGACACAGCAGCGTGAGGACTTGGCTTGACCACATCGCTAGCTTTGAAGATGCAGGAAAGGGCCATGTGCCAAGGAAAACAGATGGTTTCCAGAAACTGGAAAAAGCAAGGAAATGGGTTCTCCTCTAGAGCCTCCAATAGGAATGTGGCCCTGCCAACATCTTGCTTTTAGCCCAGGGAGACCCATTCCAGACTTCAGGCCTCCAAACCTGTAAGAAAATTGGCGTGATTTTTAAGCCACTAACGTGGTCATTTTTCACACCAGCAATAAAAACTAGTACGGTGCCCAGTGCCTGACACCAAGGATCACACTTAGTGGTCACTTATTAAATGACTTGAGTTCAATTGGATTATTACTGTATGTACTTCACTATCAGGAAATATAGACAAGAAAAAAGCATTTTTGTATATTTTGGATATATTGCATCAGAGGCCTACTGGAAAAGATCGTGATGCTGGGAAAGATCAAGGGCAGGAGAAGGTGGTGGCAGAGGATGAAATGGTTGGATGGCATCACTGACTCAATGTATGTAAGTTTGAGCAAACTCCAGGAGATGGTGAAGGACAGGGAAGCTGCAGTCCATGGGGTTGCAAAGAGTTGGGCATGACTTAGCAACTGAACAACAAGAATTTGGGTTACAGTTTGATCCTGAGACCAAGCCATTGACTTGGCAGGCTGAGCAGAGGTGGGGTCACAGAGAATGACATGAGGGGTCTTCTAGGGGAAGGGAGCCCCAGGGTGTGAGTGAGCAGTGCTACTAGCCAGTAAAGTCAGCATCCTGGACAACTGTCCATGGCCTGAGGACCGAGGGTGCCATCTCTGGGTGCCCACCTGCTGCTTCCATAAGCAGAAGGGATGCCACACACTGGATCTTTACCTCTGCACGCAGGTCCCAACTTCACCAACTCTTCACGGGCTCAGGCTGCTATAACACAATACCATAACTGGGTGGCTTAATAAACAGATCTAGAGGCTGGAAGTCTGAAATCAGAATGCCAGGATGGTCAGGTCCTGGCGAGGACCCTCTTCTGGGTGGCAGATAGCTGTTTTCTCACTGTGTCCTCACATGGGGAGGTAGGGTCTGGAGTAGAGAGTCCCCTGGGATCCTTTTATAATTGCACTAATCCCATTTATGAACACCCCACCCTCAAAACCTCACCACCTCCCAAAGGCCCCAACTCCTAATACCATTGCATTGGCTGGAGGCCTTAGGACTTCAGTATATGAATTTGGGGGACACAACCATTCCATCCATAACGAGCCCCACTGTGTAAGTCCCAGGATGATGCCAATTCACCAGGGGAGGGAACAGCCAGCTCTTGTGACCTCTGCTGTGCTGAGCATCCTTCACCCACTCAGCCCTCATAGCAGCTCCATGTGGTGGGTGCCATCATTATCCCCATTTTACCAGTCAGGAAACTGAGCCTAGAAGGAACGAAGGCATGGGGGCTCCAGGGTCTCTGTTCCTCCCCACTGGGCTCTACCGTCTCTGGATGGAATGATGATTCTAAGAGCCGTGACACCCCTAACATTTGGACCCTACCTTTCTGCTCACAGCCATCCTCATCCTGTTTTCTCCTGTCATCCTCCCAGTGGCCAGGCATGTGATGAGTGCCCCTGGCTTACATCTGGGGAAACAGAGCCTATGAGAGGGAGGTCATGGCCTTCCTCAATTCACAGCCAGGGTGGGATTCCTTCCTGGGTCTCTTGGCTCCAAAGCCAGAGTCTCTCCTACCAGCTGCCCCTGCCTCACCTGATGCATTATTTATGGCCCATTACTTACCTCCTGCAGTCGCCCAGATGCCGCCTGCAGGGCTGTGACCTTGCTGCATCCCCTGGAGAGGACCAAGGGCAGCTCTTTCTCTCTCATCCTCTCTCCTTCCTCTCCTCTTTTGCAGCCTCTTTGGGTCTCGGCAGGCTCCTGGGGTGTGGCCCAGCTGGTCCCCTCTTCCCACCCAGGAGAGCAGTTTCCTCTTTGCCCAGTCAGTCAACGCTTTCACCTAGCTCTTGGCTTTTTGAACAAAGCAGCGGCAGCCAACACAGTCCAGGCTCACCATCCCCTTATCACAGCCCCAGCTTGAGTCGCCAGTGTGTGTGTGCACGGGTGGATGTTGTGTGTATGTGTATGTGTGTGATGAGAGAAGGGCATGAGTGTATGTTCTATATGGGGTGGGCAAGGGGTATGGGTTTAAGTTCTCACAGTTGAACACATTTCAGTTGCCCCTTCTGCATCTTGAAGCCACAAGCAAAGTCAACATGGAGACTGGGAAATGGTGCTTTGGTGAAGCACTAAGGTTGGGAACAGAACTCCCCAGGGCCCCTGGAGCCTATAGCCTTATAGTGATGTGACATCAAACAAGTTGCTTAATCTCTCTGTGCCTTATTTGCTTTCTCCTTCACTTCCTTGAGTGGAGGATTAGATGAGGCAACCAGTACAGGACCTGAGGGATGGCTGATAAACATCTTTTGACCAGGCACCCTATCCTGCCTCCCTCTAAGCAAGGAAGGACAAGTTTTTTCTGGCTGTGCTATGCATGTGGGATCTTAGTTCTCTGACCAAGGATTGAACCCTCACCCTCTGCAGTGGAAGCGTGGAGTCTTAGCCACCGGACCACCAGGGAAGTCCCAGAAGGACAAGTCTGGATCACAGACTCTTCAGAGGAAGGGCACTTGGGAAGGGGGAAGCAAGAAGCTAGAGATTTGCAGGCCCAAATGGTCAGTGTCTAGGCAACGGCCAAGTTACCTTCATCTCAGTTTCCATGTTGGTAAAATGGGCAAAGACTAAAGTTAATAGTTGCTTAATGTCCTGGCTGGCATCAGGGAATTCTGGAAAATAAGAAAAAACTCCAGGAAATTGCACAAAACAAATCACTCCTTGGACTGAACGTTCTCCCTCCTCCTCAGAGTTTAAGGCTTTGGGCACATGTTAGCACAAAACCAGAGGGCAGGCACTTCTGCTTCTCCTCCACGCTTTTAAGTACTCACAACGAATCATCCAGGTCCTAAGTGATTCGCTGAAGGTTCTCAGAATCATCTGGGGACCCTGTGACCCACACAGTCCCTGAGCCTTGACCCCAGGACCCTGGTTAGGAAGGCTCAGAGGCACCAAAGACTCCGCGTCTTTAATGAGCTTCCTTAATGATTCCAAAGCTGGTGGCCCACTGTGAGAAATGAGAGCGCAAGCACTCTGCTGGGGACCATTCCAGATGCCCTTTGAACGAGTCCTTCCAGAATCCTGTCTCCTAGTTTCTTGTCCTCCATCCTAGGACCCTGAAAATGGAACCAGTGGGCTCACCCAAGCTCTCCTCCACACACCCGTCTCCAGGTCCACCTTCCAGCTTTGGGTCCTGCAGTCACTTCCCATTTGCAGTGAATATACTCGATTCCCTATGCCTGGAGTTAATTATTTCAAAAAGACATTCGGAAACTTGGCTCTGTTGGGTCTAACATGTTCCCTTTAGCTAATTTAATAGTTCTGTCTTTCAAAATTGAATGTGCTTTTGAAACATGTTCACTGGATTGTCATTTCATTACTCTCCAGATATCTTCCCACTGCTGTTTTTCTCTTTGGATCCATGCTCACACCAGCTCTGTGGATCTCTCAGAGGGGAGACCTGTGTTTTATAACTGGGGTACCTGCTTCCCAAAGGTCAGGTCTTGACTGTCTGTGTGCCCCGGCTCAGCAACTGGGCGGAAGGACAGAAGGACTTCTAGAAATGAAGTGAAATCATGACTTCATGAAATCATGAAAAGAAAAACCTAAAGTACGGGATCATTTTTAAAAGAGGCAGCTTGGGTTCTTACTGGCGCATTTTGTTCACCAGATGCAAGAATGATTATTTCTGGGTAGCGGATTTTAAGGGAGTTTCTAGTTTTGTCTTTACCCGTCTATCAACTGTTTTACTACCCATTGTCTTTAATTTACAAAAGCATGTATAATTTTAATAATAAAATGAGAATAAAGTTAGTATCATTAAAAATAATATGCATTCAAAAAGAAGAAACTGATCCTTCTGGCAAAGTGTCAAGGCAAGTCTGGCTTTTATGAATTTGTGAAGTGAACTTTTATAAATTTGTCAAATGACTTTTCATGAATTTGTTAATGTCACACCAAGAAGCAGACATCTCTCTGAAAATGAGTAGAACTCTGCACAAAAAGAGAAAACAAGACCGAGGCTAACGCTTATGCTCATACATTTGTGTGTGTGTGTTTTTTAAAAAGATGGGATGGAATTTGAGTTTTTAAAATGTTAATTCTAGCGCTTGTTAAATCTTAGACACCACTTTTCTTTACATACTTCTTAGCATAATTTGGCATACATACTTCTTGGGCATCATTTGACTTAAATTTGTTTCTATGCTTTCATTTAACAGTTGTGAATTGAGGGCTTCCCTGGTGGCTCAATGGTAAAGAATCTGCTTTGTAATGCAGGGGATGCAGGTTCGATCCCTGGCCTGGGAAGACCCCACATGCTTCGAGACAACTAAGCCCATGAGCGGCAAGTACTGAGCCTGTGCGCCCCAGAGCCTGTGATCCACAAGGGAAGCTACCACAGCAAGAACCATGAGCACTGCAAGTAGAGAGCAGCCCCTGCTCGCCACAACTAGAAAAAGCCTGCATGTAGCAACAAAGACTCACTGCAGCCATAGAGAAATACAAATAAATAAATTTTAAAAAATAAAATCTTTAAAAAAAGAGAGCGTCCCTTAAATGAACTGAGTTTTGCTCAGTGTCGGACAGTGTTCTAGGCTCACAGGATTTGGGAAGAACATGGATGGATCCCCGGCCTTGAGCAGCCCCTGATCTGGGGGAGGTGGTGGTGTCCACACTCACACAGTTGGGTGTGTGCTCTTAGAGGACACTGGGGAAGCCCAGGAAAGGCCATTCTTTTCTCTGAGAAAAACCAAGGAAGGCTTCTCAGAGGAGGTAACTGACACAGACGTTTTCCAGGAGGAGCAGGTAACATTCCAGAAGGAGAAGGAAGACATTTCAGGCAAAGAGAGAAGGAGGTACAAAGTTTCCTTCGGGGGGGTGGTTGTGGAAAAGCCAGAATTGTGTTTGTGAAATAGCAAGCTGCTGGCTGTGCCCACAATTGAGGGTATATAATGTGTGTATGTATATGTGTTTGTTGGACCTTGAAAGAGTCTTGAGTGATGAGCTAAGCAGTTTATCTGGTTGGGGATGGGGAACTATGAAAAGGTCTTAAACAGAAGTGGCATGATTGTTTTTGCCTCTTAAACTGACAGCTCGATGGTACATCTGTGAAAGTCCATGTAGGTGACAGAAACCATGTCAAATATTCGAATGTAGAGAATTTAATGTAAATAATTACCCAAGTTGAAATGGGAAGTCTACACTTAATAACATAGTAAATACTGGAAAGGGTGTGTCTACACATAATACATACTGGAAAGGTGGTGGAGAAAAGAGAACTCTCCTATATGGCTATGGGAATATAAATCGGGGCCGTGGACACTACGGAAAACAGTCTAGAGGTTCTACTAAAAGCTAAAAATAGAGTCACCACATGATCCAGCAATCCCACTCCTGGGCACATATCCAGAAGAGATGAAAACTCTATTTCAGAAAGATTCATGCGCTCCAATGTTCACAGCAGCACTACGCACAATAGCCAAGACATGGAAACAGCTGAAATGTCCATGAATATGAATGGATAAAGAAGATGTGATATATATATACACACACATACCCACAATGGAATATTACTCAGCCATCAAAGGAATAGAAATATTGCCATTTGCAGCAACGTGATATATCTAGAGGATAACATAATAAGTTGGACAGAGAGGTAATTTTTGCAATAATATAACATTAAATAAACATTTACATGAAATATTACAATAAATAAGAGACCACAGGATACTGTAAACATAACTTTTACATGCACTAGGAAACTAAAAAATTCATGTGACTCACTTTATAGCGATATTCACTTCACTGCACTGGTTTGGAAGTGAATTCATAACATCCCTTAGCTATGCTGGTATCTCCTGAGATACAGACGATATACATGATGATTTTGAGTGAATACGCTAACAAATAATTAAAGAGCAGTAAATCTCATGGTAAGTCTTTCCTTTCAGTGCTGAGTATACAAAGAGGAAGTCTCTATTAGGTGCCCGGTGTCTTTAACACCTCTCCAGCTCTTGCTAATCCTTTTTAACAAAGAGAACAGCCTCTGGCTTAGAATCATTGCATCTGCATTGTACATGTATTTGCCATAATGGTATATTTATTTCAGTTAAAAATGGGGGGCACTTAAAATAAAAATATTAAGTAATGACAGTCAGGTGGCATGCAAATGTGGCAAAAATCTGATGCATCTGAGGCACATTCTGACAAGTGATGTCCCTAGGTCTTTTAACATCTTGGGAAATTCCTTGTATAATAACCATCTTATACTCCATCCCTCTGTGAGGTCTGCTCATTCACTCATTCATATCTACAGAAGAACCAGTTTACTGAGCAGCTATGGGTGTCAGACTCTGTAAGCTGACAGAGATCTAGGATCCCCCTGCCCCTCCCCACATGGGTTCAGAATTCCATCTCCTGCTCACATGGCCTTCTCTCCAGAAATGTGCCTTTCCTTGCCCCCCTCTCTCTTTTTAATTTTTAGTTTATATTTTATTCTATTTTCCTTGGTCCTATTTATGTCATATATTTTAAAATTGTTAACTGGCTTCCCATTTATTATTACCTGAGAATTTACTCATGTCATTAAACACTGTGTATCAAGACATTTCCTTATGTCTTTTTTAAAAACAAATTGGAGCTTAGTTGCTTTGCAATGTTGTGTTAGTTTCTGCTGTATGGCAAAAGTGAATCAGCTATTGTTGTTTAGTCGCTAAGTTGTGTGTCTGACTCTTTTGCAACTCCATGGACTGTAGCCTGCCAGGCTCCTCTGTCCATGGGATTCTCCAGGCAAGAATACTAGAGTGGGTTGCCATGCCCTTCTCCAGGGGATCTTCCCAACTCGGGATCAAACCTATGTCTCCAGCACTAGCAGGTGGACTCTACCACTAAGCCACCTGGGAGTGTGTATATATATATATATATACCCTTATATATATACCCTCTTCCTTGCCCTCTCTTGATCTAAGAATCCTGTCACCGAGTTGAAAGCACTCTCACTTAAGGGTCAGTGAGTCTGCCTGGAGCTGTAGCCATCATAGGCTTTCAGGGCAGGGAGTCGAAAACCTCTAACCTCAAGGTCCCTAGAGCAAGGGGTGAAGGTCTTACCCCTTGGGGTATACCCAACGAGTAACCAGTCTGCCCATGAAGCACTCTCAAAAAAGCGGGAAAGGTCAGGCTTTATCTGGTATCCAGAAGCCACTTAGATGAGAAGCCCTTCTGCCTACATCAGACAATCACCCATGCAAACCATAGATCATCCCCTTATCAACAACCCCTCACCAGCCATGTGTAACCAAGTACAACCTGAAGACACTGTTGTCTTGGTTCATTCTGCCTTTTCAGAAATCTGCAATTGCTTTGGGTATGTTTGTGTATTAGAGGAATTGCACTCGACAGAAACCTAATTTAAACTGAGGTTTATGAAAATAAGTTAAAAGTAAAGAGGTAATTAATTTACTCACTGAACTGAGAGGTGCAAGGATGCAGCTATTTCAGGCATGGCTAACTCCGAGGACTCGCATGCTCGCAGGCCTCGGCTCCCCCATCTCTGGTTCTTGCTGCCTCTGTGTTTGCTTCAGTTTGGGGCTCTGTCTGGTGGCCAGGCGGAAACAGGACTTCCGGTCTCTACCTCTGTCTGGTTTCATGGTCATCTAGAGTTGTGACCATGGGCTTCCCTGGTGGCTCAGATGGTAAAGAATCCACCTGTAATGCAGGAGACCCAGGTTCGATCCCTGGGTCAGGGAGATCCCCTGGAGAAGGGCATGGCTACCTACTGCAGTATTTCTGCCTGGAGAATCCATGGACCGAGGAGCCTGGTGGGCTACAGATGGACAAGACTGAGCAATTAACACTTCCACGTTCAGGGTTGTGACCAGGGCCCTGACTTGTTCGCCCAGCTGCTCCTGCCATGCCCAGAGGAGTGGGAGGCAGTGACTAGCTTGGGGTGAGGGGTGGGTCCTGTACTCTTCCCCAGGAACTGGACCTAAGGTCAGCTTCTCTGGGACAGCATGAACCACAGGGGTGGTTTCCCAGAGAACAATAGGGATATTGTTACCAGAGGGGCTGAGAATGGATGCTGGCAGGAAAAAAACAAAAACAGATGTTCTTGGATTCACATAGATACTAAAAATGTAGGAGCCAGAGTTGGACCAGGGGTGGTTGATTCCAGAGCTTGACTTCTAAGCCCTGCCTGGTCTGCATCCAGTCTGTATCCCAGAGCTCCCCACAGTGCCTGGCAAACAGTAGGCACTTAATTCCTGTGCACTGAGTGAATTTCTTCTTGCTGTATGCTATATACCTGCCTGTTGGGACACCCTGTTTCTCTGAACAGGCACCCTTTGGCTGGCCTCTCATCCTCCAGAAATTGACCCCTATTCTCATGTGTGACCCCTCCCATCTCCTTTGGCAGCAAACCTCAGTCTGAAGTGAAACATCAAGAAAGAAGCCAGCTTACTGTGTTGTGAACACACATGTACACATTCCAAACCCTGTGAGTCCCTGATGCATCCCTTCTACCTCGGCTGGGGGAGGGGCTGGAGGCTTTTATATGTCTGA